AATTTTTAACATTGCACGATCGACGGCTATCTTTGGAACCGCCAAATATTTCTTGAAACAATGCTTCTGCTTGGGAATGTAGGAACTGATTTCGCAGATAAATTCAAATACTTAAAATGTTATAGTTACCGTTTTCAAATATTTACTTTGGAACGATTAAGTTACATTGGGCATATACTGTATACAAGAACAGTCTTTCTGAACTGTCAAAAGTAGATTACAAATATGGAGCCTATTGCTCACGTTTTTAAAGATATCCCCGAAATGAAAAATGTTGGAAATTAGATATTGTTTACACAGATTTCTTAGTCGCTAACGGCATGATGCGTGTCCGAGAGTTTAAAAGCCAATTGTAACGAGCCACATATGTTTTCATTGAATATGAGTATCCAAATACAACCAAATGAAAATGTGATGGTTAAATCAGATGGATCGCATTCAATTGAAAAACTTATCAACAATCTTTTCGTTTGATATCTTGACAATGGGTGTAAGCTGCAATTGTACCCCTAACCAGTCTTACCTACGCACATATTTCTTGGGGTAATGACATTTACGCTACTTACACGTAATGATTAATATTGAATTACAGGAAGTATTCTCGTCCAAAAGTAAATATACCATGCTGTGCGTCCATCTATGTCAAATTATCATATTTACCACAGGCAATGATCTGTTAAATTAGGCACAAATTTATATGGGATTAGGGTGCAAAATCAATTAAAATTTTCGGGCCCCAAATGGTTGTATTTTCGTCCATTGAATGATGGACGCAGACTATGCCATCTGCAAATTGTGTCACGGAAATTCTATAGCATTATGCGTTCTCACACATTGAAACATTTAGTTTTATTGTGGAAGAAATATATTAAACTGAATTTTGGTGCAGAATTTTAACCAGGAATAATCAAAAATTTGTTAAATCTGTATGTCCCCTATATTATAGCAGATTTAACTTCAACTTTCAGCAATTATTTTTGTCAAGCTAAAGGAATCCGATTATAGGGTTTTCTCCCTTACGGCAGTGGTTACTAAGGATATTACAATCACGGCGTGACAAAACACTCACATAATAATAACAAAGAGTTGAGTAGGTGTACTTATCAGATTGTTATAAGACACCGATGGAATTCACTTCATAAGATGTGGACGCGGACAAATATGTTTAGTGGACACAGTAATCAACGGAATATTCATGTCGATCAAAAACTACATCACGAAAGAAGTCGTGAGCGTGTTGATACAAGCCATTCAATAAGATGATAGTAATACGGGTTTCAAAATTTATAGGCTACATATCACCCGATCGAGTACGCTTCGTAGTATGTTCGACCATCGCTCTACCTAATCTCTTTCCAGATATAAATTCCAGGAAACGCAATTTTCCCCATAGCTTTGTCCAAACAGAGAATTTTGAATATTTTGATACAGTGAATGTAAACCAATAATGCCTTTATTGCCAATGTTATCCAATAAAAAACAAAGGTGTGACGCAAGATTCTTTGAAATTTTATACATGCCAGACTTCTTTGGAAGGTGTGTTCAGGCGTTGTTATTTGAAATATTGCGTCACCGTTTGTTGTGGACACCGGATTGAATATCCGAATCTACAGATTATGGCACGGAAGGCTGCAAAATACTAATTGTTCTTAGCAACGCTATTCAGTAGAACGCATACCTTACGATCCTTTTGTACTATGCGTAGCGTACCGCGATAAAAATTGAAAAAAAAAAAAAGTTCTTTCGGTGTATGTATAAACTTAGGAAAAATTACTTTTATATTGTTTATACCCGAATCTTACAGTAAACTCAATACACAGCACGTAATGTTTAAAATGATGACAAATTTTCCCAGATGACATGTTATTGTGACACGATCATTTCATTCCACGATAAAGAAATATTTGTGATCGAAAGCTAAGTTGCAGACAATCTGCCGACGAGATGATTAAGGAATGAATTATGTAAAAATATCACCAACAATATATTTTGTAATGATTTATCAGACGAAAATTTCGATTTAAATTCAACAAGGGTTTGTCATTCAAACCAAAGAAATAACGCATTCGCATTTCAGGTCTAATCGCATATTCGTTGATTTTCCAAAGAGGTGACCATTGTGATTTTATTACCACAGCGGCACCAAGTGGCCATTTAAGTGACTAAGATGATCATAGTAGGATGGAATTATACTACATCTTCCTTCTGTTCATAACTCGGTTTTATATATATAATTGAACTTGATACAAAAAAGGGTTAGTTCGGATGTATATAATTTTTACTATCCGGATAACGGATATATCCGTATATTTCGTATTTTAACTATCCGGCTGCCAATTGTTAGACGATCAATTTTATGAGATTTCTGTGGTGAATTGATCAAAAATCACGACACAGTTTTATAAACATATATTATACAAACGAAAAACGAACAAAATCACAGTTGAAAACATGCAAAAAATGTTCGTATACAAAAAAATTCAGACACAGATTAAGTAATACTGGACTCAGTTTATTTTTACGCCTGAATATTGTGAGAAAACTCTTCGAAATTCAAACTAGTTTATTCCATCATAAACGGCGTTCTTTCAATACACTGCAGAAAGTAAATGTCACACTCGACCAAAAGGCAACAGAATCAGAAACTCGTGAATCGCACGTACCGCAGTGTAGGCCTAAGTTATATATATGTCTGTGGGAGCACAATGCACCAGATGAGACTTAAAATCAAAATGTACCATCCAGCCGCACCAGAATACAAAAAAATCCAAATGTGGGATAGGACATAGCCCAGGGGTCGGTAACGTTTTCTTTCCAGTGTGCCAATTTGTAAAATTCAATGTCAAAGTATACGTTTGCGTGCCAATGAAAAAATTGCGTTATTTAATTAGACATGAGAACAACACAAATTGACGTAAATATCTGGGATAATAGGCACTACGTAAAAGTTATTTGTTTAAATCAGTGCTTCCCAATCTTTCAGTTCGCGACCCACTTTTATTGCTAATTTTTCTCTGCGACCCACAATGAGATGTTAATATATATATATATATATGGAAAAAGAAACAAAGTATCACCACCACGCAATTTATTATTAAATGCGAAACTTGAGTTTGCATATTGAATATTATCAGATCAAGTCGAAGGTTGTTTTGGCTCACAGTCATTTTCTGCCTTAATGAAACCACATTTGATGTAATCATAGTCATATTTTCTCACTACAACTTTTCGAGTTTTCTTTATTTCGTTACTTTTTATTTTCAAAAAATTATCTACGTTGCGTCTTACAAGAATCAAACAAAGTTATAGTGTTAAAATAAAGTATATTAACCCTGTTTAGTGAATATATATATATATTTGAAATGCGACTCATTGCATATAAGATTATTATCAATTACATAAATCGGCTTCTTTGCTACTGTCTACACGAGTTCAACAAATTACTTGTCTGTCGAGTAGCCTACCTTTAATTTCCAACATGTAGGGGCGCACTGAAATTATTGGCGGTCGCGACTTTCTGGCTGGAAAGCACTCGTTTAAATGTACTTCACTAAATTTCACGACAAGTTATTTATATTATGTCCACGCTTTTTATCACTCAGAACCTTAATATTTAGCTTGTAATTTGGGACTTTTTACCCAGCTGAACCCCAGCTTCGGAATTATCAGCCGTGAGACGACTGCGATGAGGGCTTAGGACAAACGCAATGTGCGCAAAAAATACGTTGATCTGAATACAGAAAACAAGGCTTTTATCACGCCTTAAGATCACAAAAAAGCGCCCGGCATTAATGCCACAATCTATTGCAAAATTGTGTCTTTAGGACACTCATATAGCTACCGATTACAGAAGGGTTAATTCTGATCACACGAAAATTTTTAAAATACGGTGAAGTGGAACTTTGAACATCTTCAATATAGACACCCATTTTCACTACAAAAGACTTCCACGTACCAAACTTATTCAACACAGTTCGTGATGATAACACAGCTTTGACGAGCTCCTTGAAAACGAAGACTCAATTCGTGTCACGTGCGCAGTGATATCTGTAGGAAACAATAAATCCACAAGCAATTTTCAGTCATGGGTATTGCTTTTACTAATTCGACAGAAAAATTATTATTTCAACCAGACAAACCTCACCGAACTCAGCCATCTGAAAGTGCAATCTAAATGAGGTTCAAGTTATGCACCTCCGTCTCATCAAAAAAGAAAGACCGTCATAACGACGCCGAGTGACGAATACATTAAAGGTGGGAGCAATGGCCTGTCTGTCCTCGAGCTGAGCCATGATGACGTCATTGATAAATTCACGAGGTGTCATTGCCGCCTGGATTTCGTCTGAAGGAGCATATCTAGTAGTCATCACAGCCACCAAACAGCGTTCGCCCAGGCCAGCAGTGTACCACTCGGAGGATGCAGTCAAACGCTGGAGGTAGTCAAGTTGGCCTCCAATTAGCCTTGCCCGATTCCAGTAGCCAATACACGGGTGTCAAATATATATATTTTATTCCGGAGCTCAAATCAATTTCATTTCGCATTACATCGTGTGCTTTGGTTTATTTTTTGATTGTCGTTGTATAGGCTAGCTTTAGATTTGAACTTCTAAATTCACTTAACCCCATCTGGATGTTGGCAGCGGATGCTACACAGGCATATTAAGTTCGTCTGCAACAACATATCTAACCTAAAAACGTTGTAGATGCGAATCACAGGTAAATGTCATCGAGTTACCAGTTTAACGAATTTGTCATCTGTAGTTACATGTTATGGTGTTAGCAGTTACGACTTACGAAAATGCTCATGTTGACAAATTTTCTAAAACCTGTCAAAAACCTTTCAAATCGAAAATACCATTTTGTCGTTGAATAAAATACTGTATAGGTTTCAATGCTCTCACATAAATTTTCTACCATATCACTAATTATTTCTATTTCCCACATCAATTCATAATCCTATTCTATGCTAGCTCTGCAAATATAAGAATTACGAATGACAATATCGTTCACCATTTACGTATTTTAGCAAGCATGTTTGATACAGAGAGACGATGAGCGGTAAGTTGGAAGCGACACAAATCAAAACAATATAGAAAATGCAGGAGAGAAAAATCAAAAATGGCACAACAGCTTTTGTGTGAGAACAAATTTTGGTTTCTAAAAACTAGTTGAAATAAATATCAATACCATCACAAAGACCACATGCACAAATTCTTACTACAGGACAATAAAACAGATAACCAAAAAACTACTAGTTGACATTTGTTGTAATCATAACCTAGTCCGGAAAGTTAGATGCCAAATTCTCATTGGCAGCAAATCTAATTACAACAAGATGAACAAAGAGTCAGTCACAGTCACCAAAAAGAAAGTAGTAGGAAAAGTAATATCTAATATAGCAGTAATATCAGCATTAATATGAGGAATTGTGCACTATCTGTTATCTACTGCTGAGGCATTCCACTTTGTGAAGCACTTTGTCCTGGTATAGAGCTGGATATGTTACTCGTATTTCCACCAACACTTCCACCCCCTAAACCTTGACAGAAGGAATAAAATTTAATTCAAAGCCGGAGAAAGCCGTAACCAACCACATGTTATGTGAACCACCCTCTGACAGCGAGGAGTCCATCAATCCTCTCACAAATGAATGTCTATCACGGATTAAGACCTGCGCACCCATGCAGAGATATCAGACATGCGATGGCAAGCGCAAAGGTGAGCTTGATGTGCCAACCGCTGAGCCTAAGACTTCGATAAATGTGAAACTTGAGATTTTTCATAGATTCGTTTAATTACCAACTCAAGTATTGGAATAGGTAACTAGATTATCATTTCAAATGCATGGACTTGGATAAACAATGGATGGATAAACAAAGTACGGTAGTCACCGTACTCCAATAAACTTCGCCACAAGGTAAAATTACCAAAACTTGATAGTAATACAGTATATGATAACTCACGGTGCGATGATCTAACCTGATCCAAGATCTTGTGGCAGTTGTGTAGAGGAAGATTGCAGATTAGCAGATGACATTCCTGCTTGTTGCATTTTCACTACAGGGACTGAAGCAAGAAAAGATGAAATTTAATTCGTAATAACAGATCAATCAAATCTTGAAATTAAAGATGATGATTTTAATTAAATAATTAAGAACACCTTAGAATTATTTTGACACTCAATTTACAATTAATGACATTCCAAAATGTTTGTTTGTTACAACAGTATAGATCAGTGGTCGGGAACCCATGGCTCTTTGGGGACGGCATATGGCTCCCAGAAAATTGTAATATTCTAAAGCTAAGCTTAGTATTGTTACGAGATTTCAAACACTTTTATAGCCAAATTTGGTAGAAAATTGCCAATACGATTGAGAACACGCGCCAAGCGCATGTCTATGTTATGTAAGAGAATTACCAGACAGGCATTGTGATAAAGCTAGAGGATACTGGAACAATTATTGTGACATCACAAAGCGATAGAGTTGCGGAGTAATAGAGGAAAGTTTTTCATCCGGTTGTACGAACTGGTTACAGTATTTTTCATATTTAGATCGAACTAGCAAAACTAGTTTTTAAAATACTCAGAGATGCCTAAATGAAAGAAGGGTGATGCGTATCGTATATTTCAACTTGTGCTGCATGTGAGCAGTCATTCAAGGCCTGCAGCGACAACATGCAGCATCAGGAGTCACATTAAATGTATATTGGCATTGTATGTGTTGACTTAAGTGAAAATTTAAGACCTGATTAAGTGAAGAAATGCTATATGGCTCACACGGAAATGCAATAGAAAATATGTGCCTTTTAAGGCTCTCTTGACTAAAAAGGTTCCCGACCCCTGGGATAGATAATGGAAGAATGGTGGAGTTATGGTGTTACCAACATAGGTTAGTGAGGTTAGGTATCATTTCTGGCAATACTGCAGCAATAATTTAAACACATAAATCACAACCCAAGGTGTGATATATTTGGCTGCTCAGACACTATTCTCACTCAGACAGATTTTCAAGCGTGGTCGTAAACATTACCTCGTTTTCGCGTTTTTAAACTCTATTCGTTAGTTTTCAGTCGTGTTTCGGAAACTTAAACATAAATCAGATAATTCAATGATCATACTGTCCTCCTAGGAGTTTTAATTTAATTGCAGTAATAAACAATTAGTGTAGAAATAGCTGTGATAGACTAGGCTAAAATTCTTTACTGGTACTTTTAAAAAACAGATTGTTGTATGCGATGATTCATAATGATGGTTTGAAACACATACCCCATTTTACAGGCGCCAACTCGCAAAAGCACTCTAAAATAGCTCCGAAAATTTTGCAATTGTAAAGTATAGGAAGAATTTTTCGGGGGTCGAAGGTCGGGGAAAGGTCCATTTGAATTACTTGATAATTAATTGTATATATGAATGCGAATGAACTGCTGTGATTCAGCATTTTCGCCAGAATATATTCCACAAAAAAACTTACAGAAATAAGGATGTTCCATTGCTTCTTGAGCAGTCAGTCGTGTCTGATGATCGTATCGTAACAATTTGTCAAGAAAATCTAATGCTTCTGGGCTGACCAGATGCTGGTTGTCAGTGTGAATAAATCTTTCCCACCTCTTTCTCGAATGTCTGAATGTATAAAATGTTCACATTAAAAAGTAAGTGAACTAGTAATTTACAGGCCTTTATTAGGACCAAATCAAGTCCATATAGAAAATAAAGATCAAATCTGATTGCTTATATTGATTCAAAGCGAATTGTTTACTAAGGAGTACAATGGAGAAAATGAAAAACTAGATTAAAACGACATCTACACACTTAATAATAAAAGTATGAAAAAAGTAAATACCTTCCAAGAATGTCATTGAATCTGGGATCAAGTTCTATGTTGTATTTTTCAATATAATCGTATAAATCTTCAGTGCCAAGAACTTTTGCAATTCGAACCAACTGAAATGAAAATAATTTTTAATTCAGCATTTCCCAATCAAGGAGATATTTTGTTATACATATTTATTCACACATCACCCATTCAAACAGTGCAAAAGCCACTGTGTGATTTGTGCCACACAAAAAAAACGAATTATTTGAAGCTTGGATGAATAACAATTTTTAGGCATAGTGAAGATTGAGAAAGGTATAGAGAAACAAATATGGAAAGTGAGGAATATATCAAAAGGGTTGGTAACTGTTTCAATGTATAATATTTCTTAGTATGAGTGGCTTATCATAATTAAAAATATTGGTATTGTATAGATCCTTATCTGTTTAGAATATCTTGGTGGTTGTTAATAAATCCAATTTGTGGTTGCAGCCGGTTCAACTAAGCTAAAACTAAAGTCCAAAGTTTGGGTGCACGTCTCGGAAGTAGGATAAATGAGGCATGTTATGAAAACTCAAAAAGATTTTAGTATTTCTACTCAGAGTAGCTTCAACATATAGCTAAAATGTGAATATACCATGTTTGATCAAGGAAAATCAATCAAAGTATTCCTAATATTGGGCATATATATGCATTTCTCAGAACATACGTATGGAGCAGAATTGATTACGATTGTTTATATATAAAAGCAACTGATCAATAAAATGATTGATGGTCACGAAAAAGCAAAAAATTCATGACAACAAATTACCTGATCATAGTTGTCGTGTCCGTGGAAAAATGGTTCTTTTCTAAATATCATGGAAGCCAACATGCAGCCTAAACTCCACATGTCAAGTGAATAGTCATAATACTGAAAACAAAAAATAATGGTTCAAAAGATTGAAAGTATGATGAGGAAATTGTATCATGAAGATTATTGCTAGATAGATACCCATCTACGAAATTTTTTTATTAATCCTTGAAGCACGCAATGAAGTTTTTATTCAGAAACAGTTGCCAGCTGAGATGGCTATCGAGAATGGCGATCAAGGATACAATTTGAATTACCGGTAAATATACTTCTTTATTGATCTCTGAATTTCAACTCTGGCACAGGTACCTATTCTGAAGTGCTAAAGCACCTCATATATAATTACAAAGTTAGGGATTAAATTATGGAAAATACTCGGCCTGCCCTCAGTTACAGAAATAGCTCTAGCTAAATGTACTAAAATAATGAATGAAAACAATATTTTTAAATATATAATATCTATTTATTACACACATTCTAGAAATAATCAATTTTTATTAAAGAAACGAGTACGAAACAAATAAATGTTATTAAAATTTAGACTGGTTTCATCATGAGATCCTTCTGACGCCAATAAAAATATTAAAAATACTTCGTTTCGTACTCATTCTCATACTCATGAAATTCATAATTTTCTTCGTCAAATAGTACCTGGTAATCCACTAAAAGCTCGGGTCCTTTAAAATATCTTGATGCAACTCTGACATTGTACTCCTGACTTGGATGATAGAATTCAGCAAGGCCCCAGTCAATCAGTCTGAGCTAAAATAAGCAAATCATATCAGAAAATATGTAGAAATTATTGTATTGTTATGGAAACATTAATAACAAGACAACATTGATCATTTCGTACTGTGTAATAAACAGAACAGGTAAATCAATATGTCCTCCCTAATGAATAAAGAAAATTGTTATTTAAAATTAAAATATTTATATAACAAAATATAATTCAATTTGCTAAAAACAAATAGAAAACAAGTTATTTTGAATAGATTTTCCCTGTAAATAAGTATAAAAAACAACAACTCACTTTTCGACTTTCGTGATCGATCATTACATTATGAGGTTTAACATCTCTGTGCATTATTCCCATACTGTGACAAAAATCCAGTGCCTAGAGAGAAAAACTGTAACTATTTCAACTCAATCATAAAGCTCTAATCACTCTAAGTAGTAATCAAATGTTAACATATTGTAGGCACTAAACGTATAAAGTTTATCAATGACAAAATTTGAAATTGTAAGAGAAATCAGATTGTGGACATGGTGGCCTAGTCATTATACCATTTTCCCTAACTACGTTGGCAAACAGGGTGAATGCTATCAAATTTGATATGTGCAGTCCTTCACGCTGGGTGTAAATAGATATCCTTTCCTGTTTAATAAAACCACCTAGTGAATTTGTTACACCCTGAACAAGGTGGTTGGGTATGGATTTGAAGCAGGTATATATATAACATGGGGCACCAGCACCAACATAATCAAAGTAAGCCTACTAAAAACAACCACAACCTAATTAGTTGATTATCAAGATGACAACATTTATCCAAAGTAATGATGCTCTTGATGATCTCATATTCATATAAACAAATGTTTATACACCATAAATAGATCAGAATATTTTCCACTTACCTTGAGGATTTCAAACATATAACAACGTATGTCATAGTCAGTTAATGTCTGGTACAATTGCTAAAAAAAAATTAATGATGTTAAATAACAAATACATTAAAAAATTGGAGCAATAAAGTGAGCAGTGTATACCAATCAGGAATGCAAAAAAGTATACCCGTCGTCTCAGATACCTTGAACAGGTATGTTTACAATTGCTACTAGCGAAATAAGGTTTGATCTAGTTTCTAGGCACACCTTTTTGAAGTTAAAATCTGTTGGGAGACATTTATGGGCCTTTTTTTTTAATTTCAATAAACCATTTCATTGAAATTTCCTTTTCTTTGAATTGCAAAAATGGGCAAGCTTTCATTTGTGAACATTATTTCAAAACCCTATTGATACTTGACAAATTTGTTTCAAATTTTTTCATCCTGCTAGGAGCAGGTGTACTCGGACGTGCACAAAGTATAAATAAAATCTATGCCTGTGAGATGAAATGACTTGCATTGGATAAGCCAGAAGAGCAAGCATGGTATTTTTACCAGAGGCTGGCATTTATCTACAACAGGGTGGTCCAAACTCAGGCCCGCAGCTTCTATTATTTGTGGCCCAGAAGAAAATTTATTAATTACCCTGTACTTCGCATTCGGTAATGAATCAATCTGCAGTTATTTGTAAGTTATTTTGTAAACATGAGTTTAAAAAGAAACTGACAACCCCAAACAGATATTTAACTAGATGTGGGAGGGAAAATCCCACAATGATTACTTGATATGTCACCAAGTCGTGTCAGTGACAAAAAAATATAACTCAAAACATTTTAGAATCTTGTGAGCATTTTCCAAAGTTAAGATATTGCTTTGAAAATATGATCATGTTCGAAAGCACTTACAATAGCGGAAGCACCTTTTCTGTTATGAAGAGTTTGAAATCTTACACTAAATGTAGATATAGAAAGACTTTTGCCGGTTTTAGTAACTTTTTACGTGATTTTTGCATGTTTCAGTTTGATAAATGACAAATACTGATCTTTGTGTTTACAAAAATAAGCGTTTGTTTTGTATTGCACTGTTTACCTATTCTTGGCACTATTGTAGCCAGCGAACAATGCAAAAATAATTTTGTGGCCACCGGAGTCGACAACCTCAGACCACCCTGATCTACAATGTTTAATAATCTAAAATACGAATAAAGTTTCGATTCCTAATATGATAAATTTTTCAAAGCGTACTATGTGAATTTTATATTGAATTGAGCAATAATATTTTTTACAATTTTGGTTAAATATCAAAAAGATGGATTTGGCTACCAGATATCAGGATACAAAATCCATGCAAAGCACTATATTAATAAATAAATCTAATGACATTGATATATTAAATTATAAAATAATAGAATAAGCATATAATTTACGACAGATACAGCTACAATTCCCAGTATACAAATAAGTACAGTAAATGTTGGTGGGACTTTCCAAATACAAAAGAAAACTAACCTTGAAGTCAATGTTATTTACATGTTCAAAGACAAGTGCAGGGGTCCTTGACTGGAAAGTAAAAAAACATTAATTCAAATCCAGTGTTATAAATAGGGACACAGGAATCTTACATGAACTATTTTAATTTTCCCATTTTACAATTGTGAATTGCAAAGAGATACATTATATATTATAGAGAGTTGTGGAGAATTCTAGTTTAGGTCTGTGATTGACAATCATCTTCAACACCTCTGCCACTCTTTATTACTATCATGAAACTTTTGGCTTGAAATATTTGAAGCCGTATAGCATTAATTATGATTTTTATAAAATGAATTATCTTTTATTGATAACTAATATTCCTAAGTAGTATCAATTTAAAAAAAAATTTTGACATCCTAGATTATCATAATTATAAAACAATTCACAGGTCCATTTATTTGCAGTGATCGGCCATGGACCATCTCATGAATCTCATGGTGCCATCCATCTATCTATGGCTTATAGTTGTTTTATATCAACAAAGGCAAACTTCGAAACAGTATCGGTACAATGAATATATTAACATCTTTGATGGCATACAGCGCTCTGGCATAAAATTGGTAAACACTGATAATCGATCAATAAGTCTTGATATTTTATTAATAAAATGTTATTGACATAGTCATTTATAATATAGAAAAGCCGACTTTGTGTTCAATTGTAGCAAATAAATTTCATTACATCAATAAGATACAATTAAAATAATCACTATGAACTCATATAATAACATAGGAAACCAAAAACAACTGGTCATGAACTCTGACGTGGTTTAAAATCATCATTTATGCCTCGATCGGGATAGACTATAATGTGCCACACCCCCTCGGGCACGATAACAATATTGCTATTCAGTAAAAGAATTTTAAAAAGTGAAACCGGTTAAACTTTCGTTGTTATATATATGGTTCAATTTATGATATAAAGATCACACTAAATAAATAAAACTTATCCGGTAGCGTTGCACATCAGGAATATTGAAGCTATCTGGTAAAGAAATATTAGCCTAATAATAATGGTTACTACTCACAACAGGATCTTTTACAATGTCAAGCAATGTGATGACATTGGGACCTCCTCTGAGATTTTGTAAGATTTTAATCTCTCTCTTAATCTTTTTCTTTTTCACAGGCTGAATAAAAATAGCGGATGTGAAGAATAAACCAATTGAGCAACTTGAATATCACGAAGGCAAAAACATATTTCTACCAGTTTTTCATTTCAAAAATTGGCGAAAGCTTTTTCAAATGGCATTATTTCTGTATATTGTTCTAATTGCCATTTTACCCAGTTTTAAAGGAAACAAAGAATCCATATCTAATTAAATTTAATCGAGCAAATGCCAACTATGTCAGATAAATAATAACTAATTCTGAGAGCCAGCAATGTGAGAACAAAGTCAGAATCATTTGTAACACTCACCTTCAAAATTTTCACAACAACTTTGTCATTATTTGTGACATTGATTGCTTCAAATACTTCGCTGTATTTACCTCGGCCAAGTTTCCTCACAAGTTGAAAATCATCTTGGCTTCTGCTTAATTAAAAAATTAGGGTGTTATTATGACGACGATGATTGCTTATAATTGACAATGCAATAATATATTCAGTACAGACAGTATTATAATAAGGTTTTATCAAATCAAAATGAAAAATTTTACAAAAAGCTTTCCATGATTATATATATGTATAATTAACCGAGATAATAATTATACAATTTATTATGAGTAATTAAACAATTTCACTTTTCAGTTGTCATAGCTGTGACAAAACAAAATTTTTATGTGCATTGTTATTGAGAGCATTATAAATGTTGTAGAATTGACCATGTAAACCCAAGTACGAATTGACCATGTAAACCCAAGCACAAATAAACTTTTGGAAAGTTATAAATCAACTATGAATAACACTTTCAATACCGAAACTTAGAAATTGTCAGGGGATATCGATAATATAATATGTGGCGTCAATTTTATAGAGAGTCTGGTCATAGTAAGATATTCCGATGGGATTATGATACTAAACCATAACGATGAACTCAGTAACCTCATGGAATTGGATTAATCTCTAGCTGTAAACCTAAAGCAAAGCATTGTTCTATCAATATTCAGTGAATATTGCTTGATAAAAACTCTTCACATTGAGTAAAAACTATCAAGGCTATATGCATCAAATGTTGTAAATACTCATTAATATCAACTTCATCTCATAAAATAAGCTAATCACCATCATGTAAAACTTCATCGTTTTAGAATTCAACCTTAATTCATATATTATCAATTAATCGATTATAGGCTGGAAATATGAATCAATAACAGCAAAATATTGATATATGCCTACAAATTGAGATAAATGTCATAAGAATAAGCATGTTTATTATGCAGGAAATGCTTGACACTGTAGACCAGGCCTGCACAACATACGGCCCGCAAGATACTTCTGTGCGGCCCGTGGGCGATTTGGAAACACGTCACTTCGCGGGTCTAACAATCAAAGCCGGCATTATTATGCAAGTGCGCCGCTACTTCGATCATATTCGAAATCGTGAGATTTATATTTTGCACTAGTTTCAATAAATATCGAACTTTGTGTGAAATTGATGTGCCCTTCGCGACCCTAAAATTCGTCGCTCGACCTCTCGCCCCCAGTTTGAGAAACCCTGATTTAGATATCTCAGTATTCAGACTGAATCACGCTTAAAACAACATCGGTATACAATCTCACATCCATTAGTGCATATCAGCAACCTATTAATAACCCCATTATTTTCCTTGTAGTTTATGAAACTGAAGTTTCTTTTTTGATTCAAATTTAGAACTTAAAAAACACTTCATTTATGAATGGTGCAGAAATTCTCGCACAAAAGATATTGCTATTTACTGTAAAATTTCAAATACATTAGAGCAGATTTTGTAGAAAAATATAATTTAACAGTCAAAAAAGTACAACAGAGGAAGATCTATTGCTACTAAACGGATTGTTTGTCTAGCCTACAATGGAAATATCCAATAATGGTAGATATGACTAGATGAATTGTCATACATATATTTGGAACGATTTTACAAAACTGAACCCGAGTGAAATATTTTCCGGCAGTCAGTTTATACTGCAACACGCAATACCTAATTCTAATAAAAAATAAATATGGAAAATGAAGGGTGGGTTTTCAAGGTAGATGAACCACTAAATACATATTTGCCATCTCATATGCAAAAATACTGTACCTTGTTTTTACTCATGAAAATAGGATACTTCATATTTTAAACTCTCCAGTAATGAAAGTGTTTCCTTAAATTCAACTGTTACACAATATTATTTTGATTTGTAGTTCATCTTGTGAAATATGTATGTGGCAAAGTTTTAGGCCCGCCGGGCCTTCAGATTTATGCTTCCGGCCCTCGTGGTAATTTGAGTTGTGCAGGCCTGCTGTAGACACTGGACAATTCGGAAGAACAATGATTTGACTGACATCATTTTAGTTTTCACAAATGTGGTCATACCGTGACGCTTCAATATCTCAAAATCATATCTTTTCAAATCAAACTATGACAAAATTTTCCTAAAATCAATAATTTGAAGCCTGAGAACATTGAATGGAATTGATATCTTTTAATACTTAACATGCTCACATAGCAAACGAGATGACCGATGGCATAAATACATGCCAACTGACCGCCACAAACCTAAAAATATCATCACCAAACTACAGAACTACACAATGAAAAAATGCAATATGAGTGAACTTACCCCCAATCAACAACATGTGATTCATAATCCCAGTAATCTCTTGGTCTGTGAGTATTGACCTCAGGATAAATCCTGGCACGACTCGGTGTTGCCATATGCAAGCATCAGCAGAAAAATTTCTGTGAGTTACTGTGGAAAACCTAACCCAAAATTCTCTATAAAGCTGAACGAAACAATTTGAAGAAGTTTCACGACAGTATTGAATTTGATAATAGCGAGAGTGCAAGATTAATGAACAAGCTTGTGGGTTCGGGTCAGGGTGAAGACGGTCTGAAAAATGACATCAAATCAACAAAAAGCACTGTCTGACTGTCCATCAGTGAGGGACTCTGGGGCTGAATCAAACAGGAATCTTCATCACACCATAAACCTGTAAACCCGAGCTGCAAATGGGCCCGACACCTTAACCCGCAGCCCTGGGTTAGGACGATGCTCAAAAACCTTCAAGGTTTCTAATCTCTGAATCTGTTCCATACTTATTGGCGTTATAATAATGTGTAATACCTAATACAGTAATACGTAACCCATCATATATCAGTATATGAATGTAAGCGCATCTGAATTTTCCGTGTTCATGGAATCTGAGAATAAAACCAACCTTCCACACGAATAGACGTAAAAGTGCCTCAGAATCTTTTTTATACTTGCGATAAGTTTGGATGTATTGATGACCATAATACAGTACGGCACACTATACAAATCGGGTGATATTGTCCCGTTTCAGAGAAACCCATTTTACAGATGATCAGACACCCCTCTTTCGGGAGACTTCTGAACATTGTTGTCCCTCAATATCGGTAATAATACAGTATAATGAAGTTGCGCAAAATACTACAAAAAGGCGCAATCTAGTAACGCCATCATTGAATTCCTTGGGAAAAAATAATCTGATTTACCGAAGGAAAAAAAATTTTACCGTAGCATTCGAGAGTTTTTAGCAAAAAACGGCAATTAATTTAGATTATTATTGAGACAAGCATGGCGTGATATGAAGCCCTCGTTTGTGAGACACATGGAGTGTTTGTTTTATTGAGCAAATGGAGGGAAATTCTTGGAATTTGGATAGTGTGCTGTACTGTAGTAGAAATAAATTATTCATAATCCAAATACAGAAATATCTAAAATATAGAAAACATTTAAAAAAAAAGTGGTAGTCTAAAACGATCATCTGTGAAAGTTGGTCAATCATTTTTCGGGGTTACCAGTCAGCCAGTTGGGTTGGGCTAGCAGTCCATGTGGGGTATTGTATGGGATTAGTTGGTCAGATTTCAGATGGCTGGATGGTGGAGGAAGCCGTCACTGCAGCACTGACCTCAAGAATAGCGGTTATGTAAATCACCCTATGGCGCGAGAAGTTCAGCAATCCTTTCGCACATAATTATCCACACGGGATTCCAGGATTCTAACCGTCCCTTTCGCGATTGCAGTTCGTTGACCGCCTATTTTGACCAAATTAGAAACCGTGAGAGGCTCTCACTCGGCATACGTGATCCACACTTGCTGGCCTACCCACAGCTCGCTTCTCGCAAGTTTCATCATAAAAATAAGAATTTTCGGGTCTAGTATAGTTTAGTTAGGCTTACCATATGTCCCACTTTCAGTACAGCACACTATCAAAATTTCAAGAAGTGTCTGATCATCTGTAAAATTTTTTTTGATACGTCACTCCTAACCCCCATCTGACTACGCCATTCAAAAATTACGTCACTACGACATCACAATCAGACAATCACGTCACAGAGCTTGCCAAATATACGTACAATCGCCCGAAATGGCATTGGCGCTGACGATAAAGAACTGACTGACGTTATCGATCTCTCTCCTATTGGAAGGCAGTTCGTATAGTTTGAAGGGCTCTATTACGTCACTGTGACGTCGTGTTGACATAATTTTTGGATGGTGTAGTCAGGTGGGGGTTAGGGATTGATACGTAAAAAAATTGTCATGCTACACCCACTAGAAGTAGACTATGTGAGGTACGAAACTACATGAGACCCGTTGCCTTTACAGGCGTCCCACTTTGGGGTCTAGTATAGTTCAGTACCACAAGTACTTGCAGTGGGCGTAGCATAAAGAATTTGTATATGTTATTCCTAACCCCCACCTGACTATGCCATCCAAAAATTACGTCACTACGACGTCACCATCACGTCATATGGCTTGCCAAAGTATAAATACGATCGCCAGAAATGGCATCTGCACCTATCGTGATCGTTGCTGCGTTGTGACGAGAAAACGAGAGAAATAGATTGCTCGATTTCGGATGATCGTCTGCGCGTTTTGGACGACCATCCAAATACTTTGATGGGCCTTATTACGCCACTGTGACATCAAAATGACATAATTTTTCGGTGACGTAGTTAGGTGGGGGTCAGGACTGACATGTGCAAAAATTGTTGAGCCAGACCAACTAGAAGTACATGTGGTACGTTACTAAACAATACCAGACCCCCACTATTTGAAGTCACAAAAATGTGGTAACCTTAAGTTTAGTACCACAAGTACTTCCAGTGGGCGTATTATAACAAATTTTGCATACCAGTATCAGAGTATGTTATTCCTAACCCCAACCTGACTATGCCATTCAAAAATCACGTCCCTCCGACGTCACCATCACGTCATAGAGCTTGTCGAAGTATAATTACGATCACCCGAAATGGCATCTGCGCCGCCGATAACGAACTCGCTAACGCCGGCGATCACTCTCCTATCGCGATCGTTGTGACGAGAAAACGAGAGAAGTGGGTCTTACTACTTACTAATACAGCGCGAAACACCGCAAGCAGTGCGAAACAGCGCATTACAGAGGAAAACAGCGGGGAACGGAGGAAAACAGCGCAAAACAGAGGGAAACAGCGCAAAACAGGAGACCCAGTCATTATCACTTCATGACGGCTCTTGCCACGAAAGAACCACGGCGCCCCTCGCCATGGTTTTATAGCGCTATTACCGGCATATTCACAAGGTTATGTAAGCTACCGGATTTTAGGTCATCATGCGAAATTTTATTTACTTTTTTTTATCTAACCCTGACCCTAAAGCCAAATCATTCAAAACTGTATCCATATGGAAAATGTTCCAAATTACGGTACCCAAAATGTGTCACTAGCAGGAGCAGACCTGCCATTACAGCCTACATGCCTTGGTTTGTGTTTTCAATTTGCTGCCGTGGTACCCAAACTCAAAAAAATATGGTACACCATTTCATTGCAGAATTTTTTTTCTGCTTTGCGCTGTTTCCCCTCTGTTTCGCGCTGTTTGCGGTGTTTTGAGCTGTATTCAGTAAGTAGCAAGACCGGGGAGAAATAGCTTTCTTGATTTCGGGTGATCGTCTGCGCGTTCTAGAGTCCTAGACAACCATCCGCATACTTTGGTGGGCCTTATTACGCCACTGTGACGTCGACATGACGTAATTTTCGGTGACGTAGTTAGGTGGGGGTTAGGATTGACATATGCAAAAATTAGATTTCAGGCCAACTAGAAGTGCATGTGGTGCTAAACTATACCAGAACCGAAATTTCTGGGTCAAAACGCCACTGGTGGTCCAAAATGATCCCATAAAAAGAAAAAGTCACCGTTTTTCTTGAATGCAACTTTGAGTGAAGCGATGGACCTTTCCCCGAGCATCGACTTCCTTGTTTACTTCCTGACATTGGCCAATCAGCAAGATGCAAAAAGTGATTCGTTTACGCATTTTCAAATTCTATTCGTTAGTTTTTAGTCTGTTTCGGAAATTTAAATATAAATCAGATAATTCAGTGATCACTCTGTTATCTTAGGAGTTTTAATTTATTTGCAGTAATAAAAAATTAGTGTAGAAATAGCTTTGATAGACTGGGCTAAAAAATTTTACCGATATTTTTGAAAAACAGATTATTGTATGCGATGAATCATAATGATGGTTTGAAACACATACCCCATTTTACAGGCGCTAACTCGCGAAACCACTCTTAAAATAAGCCCCGAAAATTTTGCAATGGTAAAGTACAGAAAGAATTTTTTGGGGGTCAAAGGTCCATTAAGCAGAAATTACTAATCGCATGGGTCAAAGGGGAGCAGCTATATGAAATTCCACAGGCTACCATTTTAGATTGAATAACAGGTTTACATTTTGATAACATTTAAAGACTCAATTGTTTATCAGAAAAAAATAGACCATTGGCTGAAATACCCAAGCGGAAAAGTTTTGCAAAGCAAATCCCAGCGCTACAGATGCGGATACCACTTCAAATGTTCCATCAGTTTCTCCATCTCCGTCGCCAATCATTTCATCAACCGTGCTAACAAAACTAAGAAAAACAGCGCATGTAATGGAGAGGAACATCCCTTGAGAAACAAAATTTAATTCTAGAAAACGTTATAGAAGGAAATCAAATGAGCGATAATGGCTTTTATATGACATGGAAGAGTTTGAAGCGAGATATACATAGAAAAAAGGAAAACAAACATATAAAAATAAACGCAGAGAAAATAATCGTACCAAAATCGTAAAAAAAAGACATTTTCAAAAAGCCAATGAAAACAAAATCTACATAAAAAATCATTAGTAAAAAAAACAGCCATTCAACTTATTGCGAGACAATACATTGAATTATTTAGAATTTTTGATGCAGAAAAACAAGAAAATGTGGGGAAAAGCAGATTAATTTTGATAGAAGATTGTAGAAAAAAAGAGCAAGCAAGCTGAGAAGGGCGATAAAAAAGAAGGTTGAGGCATGCGCATAAAATAGCGAAAGAGACGGGGATGATACTGTATTCGAAGGTGGTCCAGGGTGTTCACGGAGGATTCAGTGTGGCGGTCGTGATACCTGGTTTCACGTGAAGTGCACAGAGCTCTCCGTAGTTATCGTCGAAATTTTCATTGTAATGCATTAGTTTTGAAACATGTTCCTGACATGTTGCTTTTCAAATGTAGAGGAAATTTTATAGCATTTTTCTGCACGATTATCGATAATCCCTAAAGGGGTAAATATATTCATAATAAAGTAGATACATTCTCATATATTTCATTCCTGTAGGTCACAGTAACTACTTCAGCTGTTAATTTTTAATGTGCGATTTCATCTTCACAAAGCCATCGAAATGTTTTTCTCGCTGATTTGAATACCTTCGTTCTACCTAATTTAGTATTACTAATCTTTCAGCGTCATTGGTAGAAAAATTCATTCTTGTTGACCATAATCTCCAAGGGCAATATTCGTGAAT